TTGTTATGGCTCATATCTGGACGTCCCCCTAGTGAGGTCATAGGTGGGGCTTTTTGAAGGTGGCTGGATCTAGACTCTGTGATGCTGGGATTAAGTGTGTAAGGTTGGGATCAAAGGTGTGTGATTATTAAATTAGTCCACTCATTGGTTTGGCATAGTTCTGGGTAGGACTACAAGTCCCCACCTTGGGCGTGACTGGTACCCACTGGCAGGTAGCCTGAACAGAATATAAGGGACAAAAAGAGGGTTGTCACTTGTTGTTTGCTGCTTGTTTCTTTGGTACTACATTGCTTAACTCCTTCCTTCTTTCTGCCCCCTCCCCCCCATAAACTGTTTCTCTTCTGCCATGCCACCCTGTCTTGGAGCCAGCCAACTATGAACTCTCTACAAACTATAAGCTAAATAAACCTTTCCACCTTTCCCTTTGGATGTTGGATATTTTGTCTCAGTAATGAGAAAAGTTAACTAAGACATAGCTACAGGTCTTTTTATTTTGAAACTGGGTCATGCTAAATTGGCCAGACTGGCCTTGAACTTTGTGTTCTCCTGCCTCAGCCTCCCAAGTAGTGGGTATTACAGGTCAGTGCTTTCCTTTTGAAAGCAAACATATTCTTTTATACCAGAATTATTTCCAGATGGATTATAGATTTAAATATCAAAATAAAACTAAAATTCCCTAGGAGTAGAACAAGAAAATGTAATTTTTCTTTTCTTTTCTTTTTTTTAATTGAAGAAGACACAAACCCCTGAAATGATGGATTAAAAAAAATGAAAAAGAAGCGGGGCTGGAGATTTAGCTCAGCAGCATAAGAACCTGCCTTGCAAGCAGGTGGTCGTGAGTTCAATCCCCGGTACTGATAAAAAAGAAAGAAAAAGAAGAGATCGATGATGGTAATCCCTGTACTTAGTTGGTAGGGGCAGTTAGGAGTCAGTTTTGCAGCATTTATCAAAATTAAATGTGCCCATATACTTCAACCCAGCAATTGAATTTTCCAAGAATTTATACTAAAGAAATATCGCTTAAAAGTAGAAATTTTTATAATAAAAATATTCTTTAGAATATTGCTTCTAATACTGAAGAATCAGAATTTTTTTTTTTTTTTGGTACTGGGTATTGAACCCAGGGCCTTCACGCTGAGCAACATCCCCTAGCTGAGTAATGGCAAACCTTGTAGAGCGTCTAATGACAATAAATAACCTATTCATGCCATAGGTTTGCCACTACTGCCCTAGCCTTCATTTACTTATTTATTTAGAGACAGGGTCTTGCTAAGTCACTAAGTTGCCCATGCTAGCTTCAAACTTGCAACCTTTGTGCCTTACCCTCCCAGAGTGCTGGGATTATAGGGATGTCTCACCATGGGGGTTTAAATCTCCATTAATTATAGAAGACTAAATACATTATGGCATAACCTTTAAAAGAAAGACATATGTATCTGCTTATTTTGTTAAGAAATTATTTCCATATGCATTTGTAAGTGAACTACTGTGTGTATAATATGATTTCTTATGTACAGGGGAAAGAGATATATTCTATGTAGTTTATATTTTGCAGAGAAAATGCTGGATGTGTACAAAGTATAACTGCTGCCTACCTTTGAGAAGTAGACTAAGAGTAGACTAAGTCCTAGATTTAAGCACTTTTACATTTTTGCATAGTTTTTGATCTCAGAATTGCTAAATTGGGTCTTCTGCTACTTTTCAGCAAAAAGAAAGAAAAAGAATTGCTGGCAAGTGAAGAAGGAAATAAATCACATGGACAGACTGACATGTCTGGGCCAACTGCTGATTTTAATAGATTTTTTAAAAACAGTATGTTTAAAACAATTCTGTGATCAAAGTTACAAAATTCTGAGTTTATTAGAAAACATATACCACTTTTAAAAAATGGTGTAAATACTTTAAATTTGTTTGTTTTGTTTTGCTTTGCATTAAGTTAGGAAGAAGACTCCAGACAGGTACAAAGATGAAATTCCAATTCTTACTTGTCAAGCTAAAGCTGATGAATAGCCAACTGAGTCTTTTTGTCCAAGACTTTAGAACTCATTTGTTTGAGAGCCCACATACCTTGTATAGTTCACTTTATCTGCTTAGTCAACAAAATCAAGTCACTTAAGTCTTGTATTTTTTTTAAAGTAAAAATTTCTAACACTGTAAGCTCTGCCGTGCAAGTGGAGTCCTATTTTCCTTTGGGGTTCTCCTATCTAGAGAACCCAGTGACCCTAGGGTTACTCATTTCTTCCAAATGAGCCCTCTCAAGTTATCAGTGGTGGAGTGGCTGGTGAGTCAGCCACAGTGCCCAAAGCTCCTCTTCTACTGCTGCTGCATGGGATCACCGCCAAGACCCAGGCAGCCAGGCTTTGAGGCACAAACAAGAACAAATGCCTATTTTCTCCTGGCCTCAGCTAGCCAGGATTACCAGAGGTCCCACCATCAACTATTCAGTGCAAAAAGCCAGACTTCTTGCCTGCCAACAGCCTTCAAGTGTGAACACAGCTCTGCTCTCACTCTCCAAAACACAGCCAAGGGGACACAGAAACAAAATCACAGTTGATTATAGTGTCTGGCAATCTTCAGTAATGTTCATGGCGACTTTTAAATTAAAAAAGTCTTATGCATTCCCAATTGTTAAATTACCTTGTGTTTATTAAGCATAAACATCAGACTAAATATAAATTCCTTACTTTCACAGCTTTCTACATCTATAAAACTAAAACAATTTTACAAATCGAATTCACAAAATTTAAACTTCAGTTATTTTATGAATGCATTATAGTGGGTGATGTTGTTTTGCTGACATTAAACTGTATCTTGAGATGAGACTATAGAACTCACCGTTAATGATTATAGCTTGTGCCAAATACAAAAGCAAGCACAATGTTCAGTTACAGTTAGTCTTCAGATAATTCAGGAAAAGATCACAATTTAAGACCAAAAGTTGACATATTTTGAAGAGTATTCAAAGAGTATGTATTTTTTTCTTTAGTTTAAGGAATACTGTTTACACCCAAGAGGCTTATTAGAAATGCAGTCTCAAGTCCCATCCCAAACTTAATGGATTAGAATGTATATTTTAACACAATGCTCAAGTGATAGATATGCACACTAAATTTTGAGAAGCACTCATTTATTATTTCCCAATTCAGTCTTCAATGAGCCCATGTGATGGTTGTGGCACAGTCAAATAGTCCCTTTTTTCCTTTTAAAACAATTATTCATTCGTTTCTTTGTAGAGTTTCTGGAGGGTACATTTAAGGTAAACTCAGATTTTGCTAGTAATAATGTAGACTACTGGTGACTCTGAAGGACCCTTCCTGGTAACTTCCCCAAATTCTATTCAGAAATAGAAGTGTGTAGCTAACACCAGTCACATAAGGCTATATATGGTATGATTTTATTTACATAAAATATCCAGAGTAAGCAAATTCACAGAAACAGAAAACAGATTAGTGGTTGTTAGAGGATTGAGGAGAAAGGAATGGAGAGTAACTGCTAATAGGAATTGAATTATTTTGGGAGGTGGAATTAGTAGTAACAATTAGCATGTAAGAATTTTTGAGGTGAAATTCCATAGTAGTAATGGTTGCACAGCTTTGTGAATATATTTTAAAAAGCACTAAATTGTAAACTTTAATGAATGAACTTCAAAGTATGTGAACTAAATCCCCCTGTGTTGCCCAGGCTGGTCTCAAACTCAGGAACTCAACTGATCCTTCAGCTTCACCCTCCCGAGTAGTTGGGACTACATGCAAGCTCCACTCATTCAGCTATTTCAGTTTCTAAAAAATTGCTTTGCAGTTTTGCTAACAAGAGAAAATGGGCCTGAGGTTATATTTGTTTATCTAAAGGGCTCATCTTGAAGTTTTCCAAAACAAAGAATGTTCCTTTTCACCCTCACCAATGTTGAGACTTTAGATGTATTTAGATAAGGTGTAAGATTATATTTTATAAAGGTCACTTTGGTTTATAAATAAGATAGAGTGAATGGGCTGGACGCAGAGGGTTTGAAAATAGGAAGATTAGTTGGGAGACTAATTACAAGGCTCTATGGGGTAATAACAAGGACAATCTAGACTTGAATGCTATCACCCAGAGACATAGAAAACTATGAGATTTGGAAACCAAACATATTTCAAATGTCTTCCTGAATTCCTACCCATTAGATAGATTCAAGCATTGCATTCTTTTCCTTATATTCTTTCAGTTTATTATTATTACTTTTCGATCATGCAGAGTGGTCAGGAATCACAGGGGGTGAAAACATTAGAGGACAAAAAGGAGAGGTCCTTTTCCTCCAGAAGCAGTAGTGATGAGACCCTGCAAGACTTACACAGGGTTTATAAAATGCACATTGTAACAAGAACCAAAAGGAGGTATAAATTTAATGCTATTAGCATCAAAAAAAAGAATAAATTACTTCTGGTGGAATTCCCATCGGATCTTTTGGAGAATGAGTGGCAATTGCCAGATAATAGGTGAAAGAGAACAGTATTTTAATAAAGCGTTTAGTAGTGAAATATTAGGACGCATCTAGGTAAAACCTTTGGCATAATAATACCAAACTCGTATTTGTTAATTAGTGTGCTTTAATTTTAAAAAGCTCATTATTCCTAGCACAGAGTCCCTGACTGATTCTTTCATAAATGAACGTTGTTTAGCTTTGTTTTAGAACCTCGACAGGGCCTAGGACAGGAAATGACTCAAAAGTGCATCGTAAAGCCTTTGTGCTGAAGCTGGAAGACCCAGTGTCAAAGGACCTGAATTCCCCCTTTAACATATACATTTCTCCCCGTTTCTCGAGCGGCCCTCAGGTCCTTGGGTCCAGCGGGGGTGGGGGTAGGAGTGGTTAGAATCCAAACAACCAATCGCGGCGCGGTCATGGGGCGGGACAATGTCGCTGCATCCCTCCTCCAGTCAGTCTTTGGAACCTTCCTAAACCCGGCCCACCTCGCACCTGCGTGTCCCTCGGCGTCCGGGCTGGTGCAAACTCTTTTCCACATCTAGCAGGGGGAAGGGGCGTGACCTCACCTCTCGCGAGACCGCCTCCTGTTGCTGCCGCCGCCGCTCCAGGCCGCTGACTGGCTGCGCCTGCGCAGCCACCATGTTCGGTTGCTATGCTGCGGCCTAGGAGACGGGGTGTACTTGAGGGAGGAGGAGGAGACGGAGGAGGAGGAGGAGGAGGAGGAAGAAGAGGAGGAGAAGGAGGCGGGGGGTGACTGAGCGTCTCTTGCACTCACACACGGACGCTGCCAGGATTGCCAACACGCTCACGTCGCGCTGCGCCCCTTTCCGCTCCTCGCGACCCCCTACATTGTTCTCCCGGACTCTAGGGTCCTCAGAAATTGGGCCGGAGAAATTTGGCTTTGGCTGAGGGGTCGCAGGTTTGGGGCCAAGCCCCCACTCCGAGCTCCCCTCCCCCACGGCACTTTGGGGGTGTGGATTAGCTCATTCCGGCCGGGAGGTGGGAGCGGGCTCCGGCTGCCCGCCTCCCGGCGCGCTGGCCCGCCGCAGCCCCGCAATATGAGGTGGTGCTGGCGGCTCGGGCCCGTGGCGCGGCCGCTGCGACGGCTGCTCGGGGGGTGCTGAGGGAGCCCCCCCGGAGTGGCGCGACGGACGTGCTTCTTCCTGGCGCTCCCGGGCCTCCAAGCTTATTCTCCAGCCGAGAGGACGGGGCTGTGATACGTAGGTAAGAGGCGCTCAAGTCCCCGCCGGCCTCTCGGCCCTGCCTGATGTGTTCGAGGTATTACCTGGGGCGTGTGCGGCTCGTGGGAGATGAGCCAGGTGGGGCAAGCCAGAGGCACAAGGTTGCTTTTAGGAACGGGAAGAGCCTCTCCCATCTTCCTGGGACTTCTGCTTTTGGAGCTTCCAGGGGTTATAGTTGAAATCTCTGTTACCGGGTGAGCAAAGGGACAAGGGATGGAATAGGTTCGAAGATGGAAGGTTCCAAGGTATTTGAACTGTAGGTAAGACTTTAGAATTTTCAGTTTCCACTGCTGGTAGACACCGCCCCCCGACATTGGCTTGTGTGAGTGCTGCTTGCAAGTTGACTGCATGAACACGCTATCCTTACCATTAAAGTTTGAAAGCCCTTTATAATTGTACCGGTATATATTTGTGCGTAGGAATCTGTATTAGGGTTTTAAAAAGTTGTATTATGATAAATAGATGTAACGTTGCATTTCCTAAGGCTTCCTTCAATGGAACAGTTTATAAGATTGTGCATATATATATGCATGGATGTTTCTGTGAAACTTGGTATGGTAGACTTGGGTTTGCATCATAGAGTGACATCAGAATACACTAGGACGATTTGCTTGTTCTCGGACGACCTGTGATACCTGCAATATACCATCTGCTTTTTGAATAAGAACTTTAAAACTAAGTTTTGTGACCAGATCTCGGGCTCCATTGTCACATTTAAAACTTGTCTCTGGAGGAAAAATCAAAAAGTTAATGTGTCCTATCTGTAAAAGGCGACTTGAGTATAAAGAAGACTGGAACAATAAAAACCTGGGCATTTTTCTGAACATTAATGTGCCACGGGGGAAACACTGTCATTTTTTGAGGGGGGAAGGGATGACCTTAAATAATTATTCAGAGCCCAAAGTGCACTTAATAAAAGAGAGCTGAATATGCTAGTTAAATCTTGAATTCGATGAATGTAAATACAGCTGAATTTTAAAGAAAAATAAAACTTTCAGAGAGAAAATATCGGTGTACAGAACTGCTTTACTAACTCATAATAAAGGAGTTCAATGATTCTGGGGACAGCAGCGTTTTTTTGTCAATAAATTTCTGCTCCAATTACTACAAAAGCTATTTTTGGGTCTCTGCATTTTTTATGGCCCACATATCTTTGTAGATTTTGCCTTGACACACGTGCATGGTCCCAATAAATCGTGATCTTGAGTGATTTATCAGAGCAACATTTTTTTAATTACACAATAATATTTGTGATTGAACTAATCTATTAACATGAGGCAAGTCAGTTTTTAAAACACAAGGAGACATTGTAGTATTTAGTTTTTAGAATCTTTTTTTTTTTTTTCATGGTACCAGGAATGGAACTCACGACAAGTGATTGCTAGGCAGGCACTTGTGCCGCTGATCTATGTTATCCCTGGCCCACACTGTAGTATTTCTTAATATTAACCGAGCAGGTTAAAGTTTATTAAATTAGAAAATCACAAATTGAACAAAAGTAGCAATACATGAGGATATGACTTTCGTATTGCCTGTTTTCTAATAGGTTCTGGCTGTTTGGGTAAATTGTCAAATTTGTGTTTTTTACCCTCTTATGACCTAATTGAATATCTTTAAAATGTCCCTAGTAACATCGTTACTTTAAATGTATGACACCTAATTTCTAATTTAGGCTAGGTATAAAACCAGCATTGATTGGACACACTTGCTAAAAATACTTTCTAGGTCGATGTACTTAGAATGCAGCCTCAAGAAAATTCATTTGAACTTCTAGCATAATGAAATTGTATATTTCTAGCATAATGAAATGGTATATTTCATTAGTATTGAGGAAGTTTTTAAAAAACTACAGAATCTCACAAGTTATATTTCATCAGTTTAGCTATAAATTCTAGTTTTTTAATTGATAAAGTAGATTAATTAATGTGGGATAGTAATAAAATCCTCAGGTTTTTCTGTGGTTTTAGTTTTGTTTTGAACTGTTTTGTTTGATAGTATATGGCCACTGTCAGTTCTTAATTAAACTCTGGTTTGTATATTCAAATATTTTAGTTTTGTTCATTACAGTATAATTAGTTGTTAAGTGACAGTTTAGTGTTACTGGTTTATTTTTGTTTTTGACCTATTCTAAACTAAAAAATGGGAGTCAGTGGTCATAGTTTCTAGTAACTTATCTTTAAGGAACAAATTAAGAAGCCATTAGATAATTTTAAGGAGACACTGTTTATGAAAGTACTTTTTATTTTTTCCTCCTTTGAGGGTTAATGTGATCACTTTTTTTTTTGGTGCTGGGGATCGAACTCACAACCTTGACGTTTGACAAGCAGACACTTACATGCCATTGAGCTAAGCCCTGACCCAATTTTATAACTTTTAAACAACAAAACCTCTTTAAAAGTAGGTACAAATCCCAAAATGTCTGATAGATGTTTCAAGGCAAGTGATTAAAAGTTCTGGTTGAATTCTTTGTTAGTTACTAGGAGTGCAACATTAGTGAACTCATTAAGAATGTAAATATGTGACTACAGTGAGTAAACATATATTGTTCCTCTAAATAAAACTTGGTTGTTGGTAGAAATGTGCTGGTTGAGTTGAATTCTGTTGTTTTTCTAGATTATTGCGTGCTTTAAATACATACTTTACATAGTGTAGTCTAGACACATTAAATTTATGAGTCCACAAGGTGGGCATGGTGGTACCTGCTTGTAATTCCAGCACTCTGGTGCTGAGGCAGGAGGATTTCAGCAAGTTTGAGGCCAACCTGAATTACATAGCAAGACCCTGTCTTAAAAAACAAAACTAAATGAAACCAAATTTATCAGTTCACTAGAATAAATAGTGAAGAATGAATATTGGTTTAGCATTCTGGAAATCTTTTTCTTGTTTGCCAAGAAGGAGCTGTAAAAGGAAGGTGTAATTATTTCTTTTAATATTCAATTAGTACAGATGGTGGGAAGAAATGTAAAAAGTTCTGTAGAATAATGGTGTGGAGAAATTCAGTTGTCTAGGAACAGTATAATGTATTTCATATCATTTATGTGAGAAATTGGTATAATCAAATATATAATGAGGTGGGAGGAAGAAGTAGAGAAATTTATTATGCTCTTTATTAGAGGCATTTTCCCTCACATTCTTCATTTTATTACTTCAAGTAGAAGCACCAAGAGACAGGTGCAGGTATGTGAAGAAATTAATAAGAACAGAATGAGAATTACATATGGTCATGTCTTGAGTGGAAGATGTTAATTTGGATGAGTTATTGTGTTTGTGTCTTTTAATAAGGGAGTAAAGAATGCTAGAAAGACAAAAGAGTCCAGAAGGGAAAAATACTCTTATTTATTATCTTGTTAAGTGCCATACAGTATATACAAGGGGTTTTTCATGTTATCGCTTAATCATCAAGTATACTTCGTGAGATAGTCATTATTACTACCCTGTCGCTCCCACATACCTCAGAAATAGAAGCTAAGGAAAATTAACTTGCTCAGAGTTGTCCTAGTGAGTAGTAATCAAACTACTAACTCTGAATCTTATTCTTTAGATAAATGTTGTTGGTTAAACATTTTACAGTGACAAATTTTTCTTTCCCAGCTTTATCGAGTTATAATTAGTATAGAAATATTCTTTATGTGCACTACTAGATATGGTAGCCATTAACCATATGTGGCTATGAAACGCTTGAAATATCACTAGTGTGTGTGTGACAAACTATTAATTTTAATAATTTAAAAATTTTAAATTTGGCCTGGGGGTTTAGCTTAGCAGCATAAGTGCCTGCCTGGCAAGTGCGAGGTCATGAGTTTGATTCCTGGTATTCCCCCTTCAAAAAATGTTTTTTTAAACTTACACTCAGATGTAGCAGGTAGGAACAATTTGGGCTTGAATGGCTTTAGATCTCATTTCTTATACAGTCTGAATTCTACTATGATGTAGTCTTGCACAAATTTATATGTGATACTAGACAAGTTATTTAGTTCTTGAGCTGCAATATAACAAAGTTTGCATCTTTAAAGACTATTTTAGTATGCCACTTTCCTAGTTAAAATATAGAGCAGGTCTCTAGTGCCTATCAAATTAACCCCAGTTCCATTTTACTACTCTTTTCTCATACTTGCTTTTACTCTTTCTCAGAAAAAAAGAAAAAAACAATTCTCTTTTTTTTCTTCCATCCCTGATCATCAGTTTAAACATTTCTAACTCTCTAATCAGTGTGCCTTCTCTTCAAGTCTACCTCAAAAATTCATGTTTTTCTAGAAGAATCTTAATCCAGTCAATAATCAAATGCTGAGTCCCAGTAACAAGTGCCCAGGGATTAATGTATGCTTGTTCAGGTATAATTTAGTACATCTTTCTTACATTTTTAAAAAAAATTTTGTGTTAACTACTAAATGTAAGAAGATTGTTTCCTTTGTATTGCCTCATGAGTTTTGTCCTTTGTTCAGCAATTTTGTTCTTAAAAGTCACTTGAGTTTTAAAAAAATGATAAGTACTGTAACATTTAACCTTAATCACCATTCTAATAGATGTTTTGTTTCCAAGTCAACTGCCTTTTTTGTGTTTGTTTGTAAAGTTGTGTGACCAAGATACAATTTGAGTCTAATAATATAATAAACATTATGTAGTTGAGGCCTGCAGTATAGAGAAAAGATCCCTAAATTGTGAAGTCAGGCTCTGGTTGGAAATCTGGTCACAAAGACATTGGATGTATTATTTGACCTCTGAGCCAGTTGGCCTTGAATTGCTGTGAGGATAAAACTACCATCACTGTCCTTTAAAAAAGAAGATATCAATAGGTGAGAGTGGATATCACTATTTTTTTCATTTTCTCAGTATAATGCTCCTTAATATAATTTTAAATGATTGCTTAAACATTCAGTTGATTTATTGTTGACTGATTTAGTCATTTACCTCCTGGTAAATACTTTTGTTTTATTTTGCTTATTTCCTTAGTCTAACACTATAGGGCTGAGATAACTGTCCAAG